GTGCGTGGGAGTGCAGCCTGCTGACCTGTTTGTCTTAGAGTGCGGACGTTGAATGTCGTCATGGAGACGGGACAGCGTGGATTTATAAGGGACTTTTGCCGATAGGCGTCCGATAGGTGCTGTGGGATGGTGGCTGCGGATGGTACTACTCCAGTAGCACTTCGGTTGCTGTCAATTAAGCTGGGAATTATAGAAGAAAGGTTAGTAATGGGGGCCGGGATGGGAGTAAGAGAAAAAGGTGGGAAAGAGAGAAGGGAGGTGCCAGCAGTAGCATGTTTTCGCTTATCCGCCCTGCTGTATGCAGTAGATAAGGCGACCCTTGATAATCTGCGCGACAGTCGATGCAGAATGAAGTTTATGTTTGAAGAAAATGTCATGGTTGTATGTGGGCTGGGATACTGCCAGGGCGCCCAGACCTAGAAAGGAGGACGATTAGGGTGCTCATCCAAAGTCTTTTGCTCAAAAGCCTGTCCGCAAGGCAGCGGGGAGGTGTCAATGATTTAGTTTTACAGAAATGGACGCCATCCCATTTCAAACCCCCAACCTGGAGAACCAGGAGACTGAGTTTGTCTGACCTCTCACCATTGACCGACCTGGTAGGAGTAGCTCTCAAGATGCTCGCAGGCATCACCCAGTATAGCTCAATGGGTCAATGAGGTACGCAAACTGTCACACCACGTTAAGGTCCAGTCTCGTTGTGATCAAGTCATCGCTTGGCCACCACTCTTCTTCCATCCACATCCCCGGTGAGCAAACAACGCACGTCATGAAAGTCGATTGGCTGGCATGCGCAACACGTGGCCCAGCCATTGGAGCCTGATGCGGTAAATAACGGTGCTGAACGGTTCATTCCGTTTTCCTGGGCCGTAAACAAGGCATCGAACACGCTCGTTACTTACGCGGTGTTCCCACCAGATGTGAGCCAAACTGCGAAGGCACCGGTGGTCGAACGTAACTAGCCTCTTCAAGTCCGCCGATCTTACGGGCCTGGTTTCGCAACCGTACAGTCGAGTCGAACGTACCACTGCATTGTACACTCTACCCTTCAGGGCGAGAGTGATGTCGAGCCGCCGCCATAGGTGGTGAAGGTTAGCAAAAGCACTTCGAGCTTTTGCTATACGGTTCGTGATCTCGTCTTCGATCCCAAGGGCGCTTTTACAACTTCCCAGGCAGTTGAATTTTTGTACGACTTCTAGCTGATCCCCACCAAGGGTCAGCGCAGGAGGCGATCCCTGCCAATTTTGGAGGAATACTTTGCATTTCGATGGTGCAAAGCAAAGCCCGAAGTGGCTGACATCCAGTGCTAATCTGTCCAGTGCCGCTTGGCACGTCTGGGAGCTGTCACAGATGAGGGCAATGTCGTCTGCATACGCCAAGTCGAGAAGTCGTTCTCCTGGGAGTAGCTCCACACCTTCCAATTCATGTCCTGTAAACGCAATCTCCATGACGTCGTCAATAACGAAGTTGAATAGGAAAGGTGACAGCGGGCATCCTTGTCTCACACCACTGGAGATATTGAAGGGTGGCGACAGCTTGCCGTAAGCCCTTACTCTGCCTGTGCTACGCGCGTACAGTGCTCGGATAATATTTACATATTTCTCGGGCACACCTTTCCTGAGTAGCCAATTCCAAAGGGCACATCGATCAACCGAATGGAGGGCACCTTTGATATCGAGGAACACGATAAGGGTGGACCGCCAATATGTGTGACGGTGCTCTGACAACTGACGCAAGGTGAAGGTGTGGTCAATGCAGCCACGACCCCGACGAAACTCGGCTTGCTCGTCACGAATCTGGCCTTCACGAGCGCCAGTCATTCTGTGAAAATTATGGAGGCGAGTAATTTGAAAGCGATAGAGATCAGACTGATTCCTCTATGGTTGGCGCATTCCGAACGCGAGCCTTCTTTGAAGATGGGAACGGAACGGCTCCAGTCGTTTGGGACAGTCTCTTGCTCCCACAGTTTCACTAGTAATTCATGTAAAGCATCAACAAGAGCAGAGCCTCCGAATTTGAAGAGGGCTAGAGGAAGATCATCTGGTTCCGCGGCTTTGTTCAATTTTAACAGTCCGATCTCACGTTCAACTTTTGAGCGAGAGGGTGGATCCAAAGGGACAGCCCACGGAGCAGGGCGATCACTGGCCGGCGAAGAATCGAACAATTCTAGCCGATTAAATTGTTTTCAAAATGCTCAGTCCAACACTCCAAGCGTTTTGGCAAGTTGTGGATAGGCTGTCCACTCTCGTCACGTATAATTTCACTAACACCAAGTCTCCTATTGCCCGTTTCCAGTGTCAGACGGAATAACTTACGATGATTGCCAAGGGGAGCGGGCACTTCCATCTCTGACGCACGGTGAGACCACCAAGATTCGCGGTCTCTCTTCAGTCTAGCACGAAGTCTTGCCCGGAGCTCTTTGCGAGTTTCATTGTGTTCGCTTCCAGCCGGGGTATGCCGGCGATCCTCGATAAGTTCTAGAGACTGCGAAGAGACCCAATGTCCATGTTGGCTATTCGACTTACCACATGAGGATTTGCCTGCTGATAGTAAGGTCTGGTGAACATGTGACCAGTGACCATCAATTGTCTCCAGTGAGCGCTTACTCAACTCACATGTCAGCGTACTTTGATACGCATTCAGAACAGCTGGCTTTGTCAGTTGGCTGGTGTCAATGCGCTCACAGCGTCGTCGTGGACGCGCAACAAAACGCATCCGCAGGTCAGCACATACAAGTGCATGATCGGTGTCCACACATTTGATCCAAATCGAACGGCAGTTCTGGATGCAGCCTCTCCAGCGGTAACTGATAGCAATGTGATCGATCTGCGTCCAAGGCTGGTGGGCGCCAAGTCACCCTCTGGCGGGTGCTGTGTCGGAAGTTAGTGCTCACAAGAAATAAGCGAGCATCTTCCCACAAATCAAGTAACCGCTCACCATTATCATTACGGGAGCCTACACCGTGCTGACCGCCTAAATGCATTTCATCAGTGGACAACTTTCCAACTTGAGCGTTCAGATCCCCAGCCAGCACTACAGTGTCCGTGCTTCTTCTGTGGTGAAGGAGCTGGGTCAGTTGGCGGTAAAAGTCGTTCTTTACCGAATCATCGCTACAGTTTGTGGGTGCGTAGGCAGCGATGATGAATAGACACCTATTAGTCCCGCGCTACTTCGAAGCTTTGAACGAGGCAGCAATCGGACCGCACACATCCGGCTACTGATTGGAATCCAATCAACTAGAGCAGCTTCAGCCCGGGGACTCAGGGCAATGCCAACACCAGCTTGGCTGGTGCTCGAAGCTGCATCGTCACCAGATAGGCGCGATGAGAAAGTGCTGCTAGTGTCACCTGAAGGGGATCGCAGAGTGAGTACAGAGCTCGAGTCTTTCAGGCGGGTCTCCGATAAGCAGCAGATGTCGATCGAGAGGGTCTCCAATGTTCGGACAAGTGTTGCCTGTTGACCGATCTGTAGTAATAGGCGTACATTGAGGTATGCCAATCTGAAGGAGAATCGAGGGCTCCAAATGCAAGTCGATGAACTGGAGTGGACCGCTTGATTGGACATGGGCTTGTCGACAGAAGAGGAGTGACGCTCCGCGTTCACATGTGAGTTGAAATTATAAGATAAATGCCTAGCAAAGCGTGTTGGGGGAGGACCAAGAATCGGAGGGTTGAAAACTAGGCGGATAAAAGTGAAGTTGGAACGGGACGGTAAGGGTGAAAAAGTGTAAAAGGAGGAATAAGAAGATGGGAAGGCTTGAGCAGTAGCATCTAAACCCCTATCCACCCTGCTCGATGCAGCGGATAGGGCACCCTTGATTATCTTCTGTGGTGGCCAGAGCCTCAAGAAATTGTTGGAGGAAAGATTCATTGTATTGCGTGGGCAGGATACTGTCAGGTTGCCCAGGTCTAGACAGGAGAACGACTAGGGTTCTTAACCAAAGCCTTTGGTTCAAAAACCTGCCTGCAAGGCAGCGGGTTTGGCGTTGGGCTACATGGAGCCTGTTTTAAGGAATAAGGTGCCACCCTCATTTCAACCCCAAAACTGGAGGACCGGGAGGCTGAGTTTGTCTGGCCTCTAACCATTGACCAATCTGGTATGAGTGGCTCTGAAGGTGCAAAGCACCACCCAGCATAGCTCAATGGATCGCTGAGGCACACAAACCATCGCACCACGGTAAGGTCCAGCCTCATTGCGATGGATCGGGGCGGAAACTCTGTTTTCACGTAGTGTTATTGAACGCTGGAACTTGCTTCCACAAAGTGTAGTCAGGGAACTTACGGTTTTCGCGCCAACTGGGCGCTCTTTGTTTCTTTCCCTTCTGACCGTATCCATCTTCCTACTTGGATTTTATATTCTCCGCTTCTCTCTACTCCGTATTCTTTTATTTTAACAATCCTCCTCCTTTACCTTTCATTTTCTTCCTAAATCTTTCTTACTTCATGCGTACAATAATTTGTTAACCAGGGTGCTACATTTTAGATCATTACCATATCCCCTACCTCAATGATCCGCTCACGGGATTTTCCTATCAGTTCAATCCATTTGAACGATACTTTCACAATGGAACGCCCATTGGATTCTTCTATTGTTCCTGTCCCACCGGAACTTGATGATTATGATGTGTTTACTTCTCATTGTCAATAATCTATTGGCTTAGGAGCCTTTTTCTCCTCTTAGCCCTCCGGTATGGCAATGGGAGTAAAAGTTTAATATTTTACAAACTCGTGCCAGTGATTTGAGGTCATCGATTTCTCTTTTCCAGCTTCTTTGGGTTTTCCTGCTTTGTTTCGTTGGCCACAGTCCATTTAACACGAGTTTCCTTGATTGATACACTTCTCCTGACTTTCTCTGCCCCGTGCTAGTTGGGCTATTTCTGTCACAATTGTCCCCCATAGTTACTATGCTACAAGATCCATTTGCTAAATCCTTAGCCTTAGTTATCTAGTTCTCTGCAATCTTGAGTTACATGATTTACTTTGTGCGCTCTTTTTGTCTCCTCAGATGGCTTTGACACAAACTGGGCGACTATGTTCAGTGCATTATTCTCCTTCGTTGACCTGATATACTTGCCCCAATGTCTTTCAGTTTATGTGGTCGGAAGAAATAACTTCACTAAAAGGGATCCTCTTCTCCCATGCTACACTTGATTTTCATCACTTTTATTTTCATTTCCTAGGCGCTAACATATGCCTCTGTCGTGGCGTGCTCGTTTGGCTTACTCTGTTGGTCACGTGCTAAACGATCTGTGTGCTTCTGTTTGGTTCACCTATACCTTAGTTTTCTTTAAATTTGGAGTCAACATACCCACCTCTCTTGCGGGAACTATTGTTCTACTCGGCCAAGTTGCCGACGGGTTAGCGACGCTATTCGTGGGATACTTTTCCGATCGAACTAATGACCACGGTGACCACCAACTCGTCACTAGCGACCAATTGAGCCAGACGATGGACAATGCTAGTGATCACGGTCTTGTCTCTTTTCGCTCCTCTCGGAATTATCGCTTTTCATCCTGGTGTCCAGCCGGTCGGAAGAGGTGGCATCTCGCAGGCAGTCTTATCGTCCTTTTCTCATTTCCACTGTTGTTCGGCTCCCCTGTCGGAGCCATGAACGCTAGTACCCTGGCGAAGATGATCTATTACTGTCCCGTTGTTATCCTCTTCCAAGTACGTTCTTTTGGTATTTTGATCGCGGTAAGGCTGCTATGCAATGCGGCTGTCCTCATCAGCGCGTATTGTGTTCTTCAAGTTATGAGTCAAACAGAAGCAGTTCTGATTGCTATTTTAATGTCCATTCAATGTGATCATTTCTGAACTTTTGTTACTTGATGGCCTCGTATTATTTATTTTATGGGACGTATTTATGTCTACTCATAGGTTTATGACCTGACAACTTTCCGCGGTCAACACTGCGGCCGTTATCAAAGTTTAGCATGCTTCATCAAGGCACTATCCACCCAGTGTCGTACATTTATCGATTTTTTACTTTTATAGATTGGATGGGCTTATGTTCAAGTTACACATCTTGCCCTTATGAATGATTTGACTTTGAATCCCGGTGAGAGAACGCTGCTCACTTCACTTCGCTATCTCTTCACTGTTTTGAGTAATCTGGCCGTGTACCTCTCCACCTACTTTCTCCTGCTTGGGCGAAACTCTGACCAACTCCAGGATTCCGTCGTTCCTCCTTCGGTCACGCCGTTAGTCCACACTAGTTGGCATTTAAACCCTGCTCTCGTTCTAGCGAGCCATCCAAGATTGAAATGGCTCTCCAGCAATCAAGAGGAACCTGAGGAGGTTGTTGACTTCGGACGGGAGGATCTTCCCGTCTTTCGGAATCTGTCTCTCGTTATTGTCGGTGCAGGCGCCTTAATGACTGTTTTATTCCACGTGGGTGTGCGCAATTCCGATCAAATACCCGTCCTGCATCTTAGTTACGAATCCATACCACCAGCATCTGGTGAGTCTAAGTATTTCTGCATTTTGGCGTCAATTTACTTTAGGTTTCTCGATATATCTGTACTTTATCGTAACCGACACGCTGGGTAGTGCCTCTACACTAGACGTCTACGACTTTACCAGTCCACACTATTAAGTTGAAACCTCTTAAACCCATGTGGCTAGATACTCCGCGAATCTACTCACTGCTTGTTGATAACGAGATTTGTGGCATCTGCTGAAATGCTATTGGATATTACTCCGCTGGCTATGCATACGCAAGTCTTGGTCAGGCGATTTGTTGGCCTTCTCTCGGGCTTGCTCTCTGAGCGAAAACGCCTTTTAATCACTGCTAATTGTGTCTTACATTGTATACAGCGCTACGGCTGTATTTGGGAAAGGGCTTTTCCTTTCATCCTACTTGTTATTTATCGCTTGTGGTCTCTGATGTTACTCAAATATCTTTACGATAGTGATGGGCAGTCTACCGGACGGACTTAATAATTATTCACTGATTGACCTCATTATTCCTCAATCAAATCCTCAACGCCTTCGTCAAATTTCATGGACTAGTTACATTTTCCACTTAAAAGCGTCTGTAACGTAACTCATTGACTTTACTGTGGTGTAATGAATAGTTTACACAATCGGACGTCACTCTCGTGGATGACCGGCAGCCGGTCCATACTTACACGGTTCGCGTACCTCTTCCGCCCACCAAGTTATGCTGAGTGGTGCCCTCGGGCTCCTTGAGAGCTGCTCCTACCAAGTTGGTCAATGGCTAGAGGTCTAACAAACAGTCTCCTGGCCCTCCACGTTGTGGGGTTGGAGTGAGTGGCTCCTTACTCCATACAACGGGACCAGCGTAACCCACTATCATATCCCGTTGCCTTGCGGTCAGATTACTAAACCAAAGCTTTTCCTTTAAAACCCTGATCGTTCTCTTGCCTGTTCATGGGTAAACTGACTGTATCCCGCCCACGCAATACTATGAATCTTTCCTCAACCAATTTATTAATGCTCTAGCTGCCGCACTGGATAATTAACGTTACCATATCTGCTGTATTCAGCAGGCTAAATAGGGGTTTGAACGCTGTTGCTCAGGTCGTTCCGTCTTTTTATTCCCCATCTTGCGCTATTTCATCCTTAGCGTCCTATTCCAACTTTGCTTTCATCCCCTGTTTTCAACACCCTATTCTTAGCCCTCTCTCATTTTGCTACAATAGTCTTTTTCTTCTGAATTCGACTTACACGCCATCCCAAGGCGTCACTTTACCTCTCTCTCTCTCTCTCTGAAACTTATCGATGCTCGCCGACATATTTCGGCTGGAAGCGAACACAATGAAACTCGCAAAGAGCTCCGCGCAAAACTCCGTAGTAGCCGGAAGAGAGACCGCGAATCCTGGTGGTCTCATCGTGCATCAGGGATGGAAATGGCCGCTCCCCTTGCTAGCCATCGTAAGTTATTCCGGCTGATACGGGAAACGGGCAGCAGAAGACCTGCTGTTAATGAAACTCTACGTGACGAGAGTGGACAGCCTATCCACAACTTGTCAAAACGCTTGGAGTGTTGGGCTGAGCACTTTAAAAGGCAATTTAATCGGTCGGCATTGTTAGATTTCTCGCCGGCCACCGATCGTCCCGCTCCCTGGGCTGTCACTTTGGATTCACCCTCTCGATCAGAAGTGGAACGTGAGATCGCACCGTTGAAGTTACATAAAGCCGAGGGACCAGATGACCTACCTCCAGCCCTCTTCAAATTCGGGGGACCTGCTCTTGTGGATGATTTATACAACTTACTAGTGAAACTGTGAGAGCAGGAAACAGTCGCAACCGACTGGAGCCGCTCCGTCATAGTCCCAATGTTCAAGGGAGGCTCACGATCGGAATGCGGCAATCGTAGAGGAATCAGTCTGATCTCCATCGCCTCCACATCGTTTGCCTCTGTTATCCTTCACAGACTGACTGGAACACGTGAAGAGCAAGCCGGGTTTCGTCTAGGTCTTGGCTGCATTGACCACATCTTCACCTTGCGTCAGTTGTTGGAGCACCGTCACATATATTGGCGGCCCACCGTTATCGTGTTTCTCGATATGAAAGGTGCATTCGATGCGGTGGATAGACGTGCACTTTGGAACTGTCGAGTCAGGAAAGGTGTGCCCGAGAAATATGTAAATATTATCCGATCATTATACGCGCGTAGCTAAGGCAGAGCTTAAGACAAGCTGTCGCAACCCTTCAATATCTCCAGCGGTGTGAGACAAGGATGCCCGCTGTCACCATTCCTCTTCAACTTCGCAATTGTCAAAGTCATGGAAATCGCGTTCACAGGACACAACTTAGAAGGTGTGGATCTGCTCCCAGAAGAATGAATTCTTGACTTGAAGTATGCTGACGATATTGCTCTAATCTGTGACAGCTCCCAGACGTGCCAAGCGGCACTGGATAGATTAGCACTGGCTGTCAGCCGCTTCGGGCTTTGCTTTGCACCATCGAACTGCAAAGCGTTTCTCCAAGATTGGCCTGGACCGCCTCCTTCGCTGACCCTTGGTGGAGATCAGCTGGAAGTCGTACAGAAATTCAACTACCTGAGAAGTTGTATCAGCGCCCGTGGGATTGAAGATGGGATATCACGAACCGTATAGCAAAAGCTCGAGGCGCTACTTATGGCGCCGGCGCGACATCACTCTCGCCCTGAAGGGTAGAGTGTACAATGCAGCGGTACATTCGATCCTACTGTACGGTTGCGAAACTTGGCCCCCTAGATCAGCGGACATGAAGAGGCTAGTTACCTTTGAGCGCAGGTGCCTTCGCCATTTAGCTCGCATCTGGTTGAGACACCGTGTGAGCAACGACCGTGTTCGACACCTTGTTTACGGCACAGGAAAAGGAAATGGACCGCTCAGCACAGTTATTTCACGCACCAGGCTCCGATGGCTCGGCCACATGTTACGTATGCCAGCCCACCGACTCCCGCGACGTGCGTTGTTTGCGCGCCGGAAGTGTGGGTGGAAGAAGAGGAGAGGTGGCCAAGCGATGGCTTGGTCGAGAGGAATGAAGGCCCTCACTTCGAAGCTGGCCTCAGTTGGAGCGTCTCGGCTCCCTCGTTGGGGTCCGAAAGACGATGATCACGTTTGGCTGGATACACTTGTTGATATGTCTAGGAGCCGATCACAGTGGCGTTCGTGCTGTGAATTTCTTTGTCGCACCCCATCCCTCTTAGCCTCCCCCTCCAACCACGGTTTCACTACTTAGGCTTAAATCTTTTTTGCATAGTAAATTATTTTTTCTGCTGCATAATCGCCGGCAGGTAGCTTACCGGAACGATGCCCATCCGTTACCGGTAGCTCAGCTGGTGTGCACCCGTTGCATTTTATTCCCTTTTTTTCTTTTAGGTGTTGCGGCATAGTAGCTGAGGTGTTTCCCACCTCAAGCTAACGTGTATAGTGTGTGTTGGGTGTGCTTTATCTGTAGTTCTGGATTCATTTATCTAACCTGCAAGACATCTCTGGGCATATTTACATTGAGAGCATAACCGTAGGTCTTCGTTAAACTTTCCCGTAGATCTGTCTCATGTAACCTTGGAAGGTGTTGAACCCATTTCCTTTGTTTCGGTCATCGTATAAATGATATACATGCATTCACCGAGGCATTTAAGGCTTGATAGGATTGCATCGTAAGCAGACGCTTACACAGCTTCACTGGAGTTGCTTGCATCACCAGCACTCAGTGAATTCTGTCACTATTTGACACTCCTCTTGTAGTCATTTTCTGTGCTAATTGAACTGAGCTTGCAATTCGCAATCCGTTCTCTCTCCAGTGACTGAGTTATAAAGTAACAAATTCACCCAGCCCTCCTCAATTTGGTGGAAAGTGTGTTGAGAAGAATTTTGTGTGACCGGTGTCGATTTCTTCGCACACTTAATGGAGGACTCCAAGCGGGGCTCCTCCAGACAACATGGGTACGCATTCAATTGCGTCACACTAAATTGCAGCCTCGTTGTGATGATCAAGCCACTTCATGGGTTTTATTGTACCTAAGTTTAGTGTCAGCAGCTCAGCGTGTCTGTCCCTCTGTTTACGATAGGACGCAAGTTGTCCAAATTTCTGTTCTTCTTATTTGTCGTCGATACATCCACCATTGTAATATTTATGCAAGTTATCTCCCTTAACGCACACTGAACTTTCCCAGCGTTTGTTGCTGCGGTTTGAACCAAAATCCCCGAAGAACTAAAAGAAAGTCTTATCCGCACAACCCTTTTCATCGGAACGTTGAATCACCAACGCTAGTCGGCGTCTAGTGGATCGTTTTGATAACAGATTTATAGATTCATTCTAATTTTCGTACGAAAAGGTACTTCTCCTCTAACTATGGTATCTATTATTTAATAATGGCCTCTCGTTTACGGAATCCGTTGTCGGACTGCTTCATGTTGACAACTATCGCTGGAGTGTTGTTTGATTTCGTGCGTGCTCCTTTGGTTTAATTCCTGTCGATGTACACACTCGGCCCGTTTCCTTTCTGCTTTTTCTTTCTGACTACGGCCAATTGGCTAATCGACTCTATGATTCTACTACTGTATGTGGCACGGCGACTAAGGTGCATAGCTAAATCCAACAGTTGACTCGCGACTCTTTCCCATTTTCGTTCACTAGCCTGCTCCTTTGTTTATTTTTGCCGCCCCATCGCCATTCGTTAATTTCCAATCGTTTCTCATTGCAATTGTTTACAGATCAACCACAAGCCGCGGGCGATAGTCCTGCATCCTCTCGGCTCCCACGGTTGCAGATTAGTTCCTGGAAATCATGGCTCCGTTTACCTCTTTTTTGGACTCAGGGTTTTTTCTACATGACTGTTCGTGTGATTGTCAATGTATCACAGGTAAGATAAATCGTTTCCGCTACCTCATTTATTTGTTTCACTTCCTGACGTTGAGGCAGACGAAAACAAGATTGCCCTGGTCATGTGACTGAGACCCTTCGTCTTCGTTGCTAGACACACTACCTTTGTTTCCATTCTCAACTTGCTACCTGCTTTTTGTCCTCCCGAAGTTTTCGTCTATCTTTATGAATTGTTTGTAGTATACTGGTATGTTGACTACCGAATGGACCACATTTCAGCCATTCTGTTCCGTTTGTCATAAAGTCGTTTGATTTGCACTGTGAAATGCGAAGCTGTTAATCCGCCTGCTCCTCACCATGTCAGTGAGTTCACTTTACGTTCAGCACTCCCGCTTTTCCTCTTACGTTGAATCGGGCCATCCGTTTCAGCTTCCTTTAGCTATCCGGGTGCTCACAATCCATGAATTGTTCGAAATGATTGGTTTTCATTTGCTAGTACTAATTAGCGGCTTCAACTGATGAGTAAGTACCGTTACAGTCATGAAAATTGGTCTAGCAAACAAGCTCATTTTCGGTCAAATACAATTTGTCTTCATGATAAGAAAGGGTGGGTTGAGTAACTAGAGCAGGAAGGTGTCAATATGACTAAAATAGGTATTGTTTGTTTGCGCGGAAGCTGGCCACGGAAAGCCTGCGGCCTTGACGAACTGTTCATTTACACACAACGGGCCGTTGTTGAGACCGTGGCCAGCTGTCGTCCGGGCAGCTTCTGCGTGAACAAATCACGGTGATTATGGTCATTCTGGCACCTTCATTTTCTAATTACTCATTTTTCTTATCTTAAATATGGAAATGTGTCATGTTTAACTTGGCGATGTATCACGGAAAACGAACTTGTTTGGTATATCATCTTTTCAGGACTGAAATGGGAGTTCCTGCGTTAGTTTTCCACATTACATAACTAAGACTACCGTTAGCCAACTGTCTTCGAAATTCCCGAGCAGCTACATTGATTCCGTACCATGATTTTTGTACTCTTATATCTGTTACTTGTGCATCCTCTTACCCCAAAATTCCCATCTTTTCACTTTCCGTGGAGGCTTTTCCACCATCGGTAATGTTGTTCTAGCACTCTCTAATATGGACACAACTATCGTGAACATTTGCTTGATATATCGTGCTTGTGCCGCCGGACTAACGATAATTCTTTTGAATCGAAAGCGCGGACATCCGTGTGACACTGCCTCGACATGCTATGTCTACTTACCAATGTTTGTCAAATTTCACTGATTTCCTCTACCCATTCTGCATGTCCTACTTGGTGGGACCTTTAAATTTGACCGTACTTTATAGTTCCTGTGCAAAGAAGTTACTGACAAACACACGTTTAGGTACTGCATTGGAACTTTTCTCTTTGACCTTTTCAACATTTTGCCCTGAGACTAGTGACATGGTCGTTTACACTCACAATGCTCTGAAACTTTTGCTTGTTTTCACGCATATGAATTAAGCACTTTTTCCTGGTCAAGCCATATGAAACAAATTAAAACAAAAGCAAAGGATTTCCATACAAAATCACCGTGCAGGACGTTGGGTTGCACTTCAAAAGAAAGATCTGGGAATTATGAGCTTACCTATTTCACTCAGTGCTACGATGCGACTGCGACTTGGAGAATTAGAAGAACTCAACAGTGAGATAATATGTCGTGAATATTCTCGTGTGGCCTATAGAAAATTTAGCTTCACGTCGATGTTAAAGATGCAGTTGTGGAACTTGTCGGACTTAGCTCTTATTGTGTTGATCGGGAGTGTACACAGTTGAACAGCGGTGGGGGCGTTTTCATTTGCATTAATTCTTCATGATGCAGCCTATTAAAAACATTTTTCGCTGCAGCTCGCAATGCATTAGGCTTTTAATCGTTAAATGCGAACCAAGACTCTTGAACGGTTGTCGTTCGATTTTGTTGGCTAACGGATATACTTCTCCCAGCTACCCCGGCTCCCAACTCGAAGAATTTTACGACGGATTTACAACTGCGATCCTCGACTACTTGGAACTCTCCTTTTGCATGGTTGCCGGTGATGTTAACAGATCTGACACAAGATTCATTGCGAATCTCGGGCTAAAGAACATCGTACAATCTCCAATCAGGTTAGATGCATTTCTTGACATGGTATTTGTCAGTAGACTGAAGTGTTTTCTGTTTGTGGTCATGCACGGCCTTGGAGCTCTGATCATGCCATCGTAAAGTTGTCTCCTGTATTCTATAGCGAGATGAACTATCTGTATCTTATCCGTTGCAAAGATCGAATGTTGTAGCGGAGACAATACCTTCCCTAGAACATTCAGGGACGGCATGAAACCATTTCGTCCACAGATTTTATTTTACCATGTGACGTATCGAAGTACTGCAATCAGTTAATTAACTACTTAAACTTCAGCTTCGATACACCTGTTGTTCACTTGAAACAATTTTCATCCGTGCTGATAGATTCGCTTCCCCACCCTTCAAACATTTGCGTAGACTTAAAGGAAGGTTTTTTGGTGCAAGGACATTTCATCAGTGAAGTCCATTTGGATTGTAATTAAAGTCGAATTGCGTTGCCTCAGTCATATCTACATTTAAACTAAGTCTGTGAAACATCTATTTCGGTGCAGCGGCATTTCAAGGCCGGAACTTGTTAACATCTTTGTATTCAGCCATGCTAGCTTCTGCAACAAACTTGCATCTGAAGTATTCACTGATGATAGTCACTCCTTTCACAAAGTGTTGTCCAGTTTCCATCGACCTCTTCGATCAGACAGAACTAGGAACCATACACTGTCGCACAAATGCCTATGGCGCATCAATAGTTTCTTGCTTGTCACGTTTTTTGACTGATAAAACTTAATCATCCAAGAACTGACCTATACCTTACCTCAGTCAACCTCTCAACGGTCCTGGCCTTCTGTTCTCACATACTATTTTTTCACGTTATTTACCCCTGTCCGCGACGTGTGTATTAGTGCTGAATATTCACCCTTCGTGGGTGCATAACGCACATTCTTGACTTGACATGAGCCTCAATTTTTTTGTAATTGAGTGGGCCGTGCGGCTTTATCGGATTCTCTGTCGGACCATTAATGCCTTATCAAACGCATTTTGCTCTTTCTCTGCCTGTCCAATGGTTTTAGTGCAGCACATGAACTTTTATTTCGTTTTTATTACACTGGGCCGTGAGCTCATTCCTTTTAATACTGAACTTGTTTCGCCTCGGTTTGCTTTGAGATCGATTCCTAAATTCTCATTAGAGAGAGCTCGTCTGTCTTAAAGCAGTTGTCAGACTACGGACTCATCTCGCTCGGCTTTAGGGTTTTATGCACAATTACTGGCTAATTTCCACTGGGAATAGGTGTTGCATCCTGTTCGTATGTGATCTTGGACGAAACATGCCTGATCCGTTGTCAGAAGTCGTGTCTTAAGAAATCTATTGATTTGCGAACTCTGCGAAGGTTTTCTTCTTGGCGCTTGTTCATCCAGACACTCTTTGAATCACAGAGATAACTCTTTGCTAATTTAACATCAATCGGCTTCGAACGTGTACTACTATAAGCCAACAGGAGTTTGTAGGTTGCTAAAGGCACTATACATCTGATACGTCCGGCATTTACCGATATCAATTGCTTTGGGATTTCGTTGCTATAAACATCTCCCCCACCTTCCGTTCGGCAGTCCTTCAAAAGGTGTCAGCTGTACGCTGGTACGCAGTACTGACGCTTCGCCGCCGCGCAATCACCACCAGTCGTACGTGGGCTAAGGGGACTACGAGGGCTGCCTGGTCCCTACGCAGATTCGAACCCGCGCCATCGGATTACATTTCAGGCCTGTCATCCTTAAGGCTACATGCAGTCTTTCAAGTGAACAGCTATCTTCGGCCAGGTATAGCTTGTTCCCCAGCGCTTGGCTGGCACTTAGCGTTTTGAATCCCCTCGTTTAATTCGCATACCTTTGTTGGCGGCATCCGTTTGCTGACTTACCTGTCACTCTGACTGCAAACAGCCACAGGACGCTTGTGTAAACGGCTCCAATCACAATTCCATCCACACACCTTAGGGTAACCTCGAATGAGTGAGACTTGAAGGCATGTGCATGGGAGCCACGATTGATTCCGAGCCGGCCCACATTTCAACATACACATTATGCATACGAACTGGAGGAAGCATTCGTACCGGACGATGAGTGAGCTGTAGCCCATTTCATGCTGTCACGAGGACTGTGCACCCCATCTCTCCCAGCAAACATGAACATTCTCATGAAGCCAGTAACCTAAGTGACGATTTTCATCTGATTTGCACTTTATCAACGTTCACGCGAAACGCAGCCACACCGGGGATACCAGTCAACAAGGATGGTCAAAACTGCGAGGACACATGCACGGCCATGTACGGCTAGACTTTAATGACGATGCCGCACACGCATCACATTTGCCGTATTATTGGTCGGGGCTAGTAAATGAAGCAGCAGCCGGTGTAGTTATCAAGCGCTGACTTCTACCCATTTAATTAATCCACCGTTTCTTCGCTCTTAACAATTTATAACCACGTTGATGCCTTTATTAGACCGCCTCAGATGAGACACAGTCGACCGAATGCACTACAGCAATCGGTACGTAACGCCAATGATCTCGACTCCTTCGGTGCCTATCGCTTGCGAAATGGCCTTTATCTTTCTGATGCACATACACACCCACTACACACGTTAGCTAGAGGTGGGAAACACCTCAGCTACTATGCCGCAACACCTAAAAGAAAAAGGGGAATAAAATGCAACAGAGGCAAACCAGCTGAGCTACCGGTAACGGATGGGCATCGTTCCGGTAAGCTACCTGCCGGCGATTATGCAGCAGAAAAAATAAGTTACTATGCTAAAATATTTAAGCCCAAGTAGTGGAATCGTGGTTGGAGGGTGAGGCTAAGATAGATGGGGTGCGACAAAGAAATTCACAGCACGAACGCCACTAAGGTCGGCTCCTAGCCATATCAGCAAGTGTATCCAGGCAAACGTGTGCATTGCCTTTCGGACCCCAACGACGGAGCCGAGACGCTCCAACTGAGGCCAGCTTCGAAGTGAGGGCCTTCATTCCTCTCGACCAAGCCATCGCTTAGCCACCTTTCCTCTTCTTCCAAATACACCCCCTGCGCGCAAACAACGCACGTCACGGGAGCCGGTGGGCTGGCATGCATACTATGTGGCGGAGCCATCGGTGCATGGTGCGTAAAATAACGGTGCTGAGCGGTCCATTTCCTTTTCCTGTGCCGTAAACAAGGTGTCGAACACGGTCGTTGCTCATGCGGTGTTTACACCAGATGTGAGCCAAACTGCGAAGGCACCGGTGTTCGAACATAACTAGGCTCTTCAGGTCCGCTGATCTAAGGGGCTAGGTTTCACAACCGTACAGTAGGGTCGAACGTACCACTGCATTGTACACTCTACCCTTCAGGGCGAGAGTGATGTCGCGCCGGCGGCATAAGTGGCGAAGGTTAGCAAAAGCACTTCGAGCTTTTGCTATACGGTTCGTGATATCTCATCTTCAATCCCACGGGCGCTGATACAACTTCTCAGGTAGTTGAATTTTTGTACGACTTCTAGCTGATCTCCACCAAGGGTCAGCGAAGGAGGCGGTCCAAGCCAATCTTGCATTTCGATGGTGCAAACCAAAGTCCGAAGTGGCTGACAGCCAGTACTAATCTGTCCAGTGCCGCTTGGTACGTCTGGGAGCTGTCACAGATAAAGGCAATATCGTCGGCATACCCCAAAGTCAAGAGTTCGTTCTCCTGGGAGCAGATCCACACCTTCTAAGTCGTGTCCTGTGAACGCAATTTCCATGACTTCGTCAATAGTGAAGTTGAAGAGGAAAGGTGATAGCGGGCATCCTTGTCTCACACCACTGGAGATATTGAAGGGTGGCGACAGCTTGCCGTAAGCTCTGCCTAAGCTACGCGCGTATAATGATTGGAGAATATTCACATATTTCTCAGGTACAGCTATCCTGATTAGACGGTCCCAAAGTGCACGTTTATCCATCGAATCGAATGCACCTTTGATATCGAGGAACACGACAACGGTGGGCCGCCAATATATGTGACTGTGCTCCAACAACTGACGCAAGGTGAAGATGTGGTCAATGCAGTCACGACCTCGACGAAACCCGGCTTGATCTTCACGAATATGGCTTTCACGTGTGTCAGTCAGTCTGTGAAGGATGACAGAGGCAAGCAATTTGGAGGCGATGGAGATCAGACTGATTCCTCTATGGTTGCCGCATTCCTGTCGTGAGCCTCCTTTAAAAATTGGGATCATGACGGAGCGGCTCCAGTCGGTGGCGACAGTGTCTTGCTCCCGCAGTTTCACTAGTAGGTTGTATAAATTATCCACAAGAGCAGGTCCCCGAATTTGAAGAGGGCTGGAGGTAGATCATCTGGTCCCGCGGCTTTATTTAAGTTCAACAGTCCGATCTCGTGTTCGACTTCTGATCGAGAGGGTGGATCCAAAGGGACAGCCGAGGGAGCGGGACGATCGGTGGCCGGCGAGAAGTCTAAAAATGCCGACCGATTAAATTGCCTTTCAAAGTGCTCAGCCCAAAGCTCCGAGCGTTTTGGCAAGTTGTGGATAGGCTGTCCACTCTCGTCACGTATAGTTTCACTAACACCAGGTCTTCTGCTGCCCGTTTCCCGTATCAGTCGGAATAACTTACGATGGCTAGCAAGGGGCGCGGCGATTTCCATCTCGGATGCACGATGAGACCACCAGGATTCGCGGTCTGTCTTTAGGCTAGCACGTTTTTTGCCCAGAGCTCTTTGCGAATTTCATTGTGTTCGCTTCCAGCCGAAATATGCCGGCGAGCATCGATAACTTCGAGAAACTGCGAAGAGACCCAATGCCTTTATTGACGATTAGACTTACCGCGTGAGAATTTGCCTGCTGCTAGTAGGGACTGGAGAATATGAGACCAGTAAGTTTCAGCTGCATCCATTGAGCGCTGAATCAGCTCGCATGACAGCGTACTTTGATAGGCATTCAGAACAGCTCTCTTCGCCAGTTGGCTGGTGTCAATGCGCTCACAACCTCGTCGTGAACGTCCGCCAGAGCGCATATGCAGGTCGGCGCATAC